ACCTGCTGGCACTGCCTGGCAGATCCCCCCAGTCCCGGTACCTGCTGGCACTGCCTGGCAGATCCCCCCAGTCCCGGTACCTGCTGGCACTGCCTGGCAGATCCCCCCAGTCCCGGTACCTGCTGGCACTGCCGTGCCCCGTCCCGCTCCCTCTGGAGCCTCTGACTCTCTGATCCCATACCCCATGGATCCTCTCTGATCCCATACCCCATATCCCATACCCCATGGATCCCCGGTGATCCCATACCCCATATCCCATACCCCATGGACCCCCATGGATCCCATACCCCATGGATCCCATACCCCATATCCCATACCTGCTGGCACTGCCGTGCCCTGTCCCGCTCCCTCTGCAGTCTCTGTCTCTCTATGGGGTCGGGTTGGTGCCCCCCCGGTACCTGGTACCCATATCCCATATCCCATAGATCCCATATCCCATATCCCATAGATCCCATATCCCATAGATCCCATATCCCATATCCCATTACCTGCTGGCACTGCCGTGCCCCGTCCCGCTCCCTCTGCAGTCTCTGTCTCTCTATGGGGTCGGGTTGGTGCCCCCCCGGTACCCATACCCCATATCCCATATCCCATAGATCCCATATCCCATATCCCATATATCCCATATATCCCATACCTGCTGGCACTGCCGTGCCCCGTCCCGCTCCCTCTGCAGTCTCTGTCTCTCTATGGGGTCGGGTTGGTGCCCCCCCGGTACCCGGTACCCCATACCCCATATCCCATAGATCCCATATCCCATAGATCCCATATCCCATATCCCATATCCCATAGATCCCATACCTGCTGGCACTGCCGTGCCCCGTCCCGCTCCCTCTGGAGCCGCTGTCTCTCTATGGGGTCGGGTTGGTGCCCCCCCGGTACCCGGTACCCCGCGGGTCGGGCACAGCTGCACATCTCACACCCGGGACGGGTCGGCTTGTTGATGAACGTGCACGTGGGGCACGGCCAGCCCTGGAATAACGGGAATAACGGGAATAACGGGAATAACGGGAATGGGAATGGGGCACAGTCAGCCCTGGAATAACGGGAATAATGGGAACAATGGGAATGGGGCACGGCCAGCCCTGGAATAACGGGAATAACGGGAATAATGGGAATAATGGGAATAACGGGAATGGGGCACGGCCAGCCCTGGAATAACGGGAATAACGGGAATGGGGTACGGTCAGCCCTGGAATAACGGGAATAATGGGAATGGGGCATGGCCAGCCCTGGAATAACGGGAATAATGGGAATGGGAATGGGGCACGGCCAGCCCTGGAATAACGGGAATAACGGGAATAACGGGAACAATGGGAATGGGGCACGGCCAGCCCTGGAATAATGGGAATAATGGGAATAATGGGAATAATGGGAATAATGGGAATAATGGGAACAATGGGAATGGGGCACGGTCAGCCCTGGAATAACAGGAATAATGGGAATAATGGGAATAATGGGAATGGGAATGGGGCACAGCCAGCCCTGGAATAACGGGAATAACGGGAATAATGGGAATGGGGCATGGCCAGCCCAGGAATAGGAATAATGGAAATGGGAATGGGGCACGGCCAGCCCTGGAATGGGAATAATGGGAATGGGAATGGGGCATGGCCAGCCATGGGAACAGGGAATGGGGATGGGAATGGAGGTCACTGGGAATGGGGCACAGCTAGGTTGGGAATAGGAATGGGAATGGGGATCACTCGAGCCCCCATGGGATCCCTCAGCCCCACAGGATCCCTCAGCCCCATGGGATCCCTCAGCCCCGTGGGATCCCTCAGTTTTGTGGGATCCCTCAGTTTTGTGGGATCCCTCAGTCCCATGGGATCCCTCATCCCCATGGGATCCCTCAGTCCCCATGGGATCCCTCAGTTTTGTGGGATCCCTCAGCCCCGTGGGATCCCTCAGTCCCATGGGATCCCTCATCCCTATGGGATCCCTCAGTCCCCACAGGATCCCTCAGTCCCCACGGGATCCCTCAGTCCCCATGGGATCCCTCAGCCCCGTGGGATCCCTCAGCTCTGTGGGATCCCTCAGCCCCGTGGGATCCCTCAGTCCCCACGGGATCCCTCAGTTTTGTGGGATCCCTCATCCCCGTACCTGCTCGGGGGAGGGCGGTCCGGGCGCAGGGGTCCCGGGAGGGGTCCCGGTTCCGTCCCGGAGCTGCAGCGAGTCCAGGTGATGTTGGATCATCCCGATGTCCAAACGATCCCCCGGCTCCGGGACACGGCCTGGGGGGATCCACAGTGAGGGAGGGGAGGGGAGTGGAGGGGAGGGAAGGGAAGGGAAGGTTTGGGAAGGTTTGGGAAGGTTTGGGAAGGGAAGGGAAGGGAAGGTTTGGGAAGGGAAGGGAAGGTTTGGGAAGGGAAGGGAAGGTTTGGGAAGGTTTGGGAAGGTTTGGGAAGGGAAGGGAAGGGAAGG